GCTGCCTGTGTTCCATTTGCTGGAACCCCCCTCACTGCCTGTGTTCCATTTGCTGGAACCCCCTCGCTGCCTGTGTTCCATTTGCTGGAACCCCCCTCACTGCCTGTGTTCCATTTGCTGGAACTCCCCTCGCTGCCTGTGTTCCATTTGCTGGAACCCCCCTCGCTGCCTGTGTTCCATTTGCTGGAACCCCCCTCGCTGCCTGTGTTCCATTTGCTGGAACCCTCTCGCTGCCTGTGTTCCATTTGCTGGAACCCCCCTCACTACCTGGGTTCCTCCAGGTGCTTTGTGTACACATCCGTTAGTCATCACCTTCCTGGGAAGGCATTTTCATTTTTCAGGTGAGGAAACACAGGTGTCAGAATTGCTCCAAATGCACCAGATCTCTTTTCATTCATCAAGTGCCTCTGATCCATAGAACTCCAGCAATCATTTATTCCCTTAACATGTAGTGATTAGGAAGCATAAGTTTATGTCAAGGAGTAGCTGCTTTCATCACTCTTTGAAAGCTGAGCAATGAGTTTCACATTGCTGGGAGGATCCCGTGTTTCTGTGTGTTTCTCAATGAAAGGGTCTGTCTACAACACTGGTGAGGCTCCTCTGCTTCAACCACTGGGTGGAAGTTACTCCAGTCTTGGGTGCGTGCTCTTTTCCTGTGCTCTGCAACTGAGCTCATGCTACCGGGGGAAGGGGAGAGGCACAGCGTGCACGTGATGCAGTGATTGACTGTCAGGGAGTTGCCTTTGAAAGAATTCAGCAAGGGCAGTACAGGGCCAAGGGCAGTACAGGGCCAAGGGCAGTACAGGGCCAAGGGCAGTACAGGGCCATCGCTGCCAGTCTCAGACTCCCTCCTGCAAAGACCCTTGCAGCTCAGAATGCCTCCCCACGCATGACTCCAGGCAGCTGATCCAATGGATGTGAGTGTTTTCCAAACATAAGATGTTGTATTACCAGTGGCTTGACCATAATCCTTTGGTTTTGGCTTTTACTTGAACAGTTTTGAGTTCTGTTCAATTTTGACTACAGTTTCATTCACTTTGGATTTTTTCTTTCTTTCTTTTTTTTTCTTGCAGTAACATGTTTGAAGGAAAATACTGTGAAATACATGGAAATGATCAAGGATAAACTGTGCAGGTAAGGATAGTAATTTCTGTGTTCCTGAATCCGTGGCGTATCTGGATTCTTTATTGTAACAGAATTTAGTTAAAGCGATGAAAAAGGCAAGCCTATTTCTATAACCAAAAAAAAAAATAAAAGTCCTTTGAATCCTGTAAGTCAAGACGCAGGTGTCGGCCCTGATCTTCCCTTTTAAAAAGTAAATAGATTAAGACATTTAAAAGTGTCCTGGGGAGATCACGAGATAGTTTTCATGTTTCATAAGAAAGAGAGGAATCTTCTTTGGTATATTAAATTCAGAATTTATCCCTTGTCTTTTTTTACTTTTTTTTTTAAGTGTCTGAGCAAATCTTAAGGATTTTGAGCCAATTTATACACGGTTTGAAACAACACAGAAATGCACGTCTGAGGTTCTGTTTTGAATCGTGAATCAAAACCAGCATGAAAATTCCTGGTCACTTTTTTTAAAAACCCAATTAGGAATTTAAATTTGAAGAATGGTAGGGATGCTGGAACATGGCAAGATATTTCTGGCTTTTGTGGAAGTGCATTTATGAAAATAAATCCTGGTCATCAGGCTCTGTTCCTGATTAAGGAAGCGTACAAGAATGTAATAAGTGCGTTGCTCCCTGGGAGCCATTTGGTTTTACTGGGACCGTTTTGCTACTGTTTTAGAAATTGTTAAATAACTCTGTATATAGGCCATGCCTTAAGGTGTTGTCTGCTAGGATAATGCCGTCCACTCAAATGCTGCTTCTTTCTTAAGAGATGTTTAGAGGGCCTGCCTTGCTAAGCCCTCCTGGGGGGTGGAGGAAGCAAGATACTACAGGATTTATACTAATGCTTAGGAAGAATGTACTTTAACCCACTGCCTGCTCTCTCCCTGCCTCCTGTGGTCCCAGACTTAGCAGAAGTGGTGGGGTGCAGATAAGGAGGGAGCACGTCGGGGTCGGGCACTCGTTTTAAGCATGGCCTCCTCTCCCATCTGTTCTGAGGCAGGTCTGTGTTCTTACCTCTGGCCACTGTTTAGCCACAAGCACGGCACACATCCTAAGTTACGTGAGGTTGTCAGGCAGCTAGTTGTAGCCTAGTACATGAGTACTGGTAGAGCGATGTCGGTTGAAATGGCAGCTCTACCCGTTACATGCCGCCTAGCCCTGAGTGAACGCTCATCTTCAGCTTTTCTAGCTATGATATCAAGCTGGAGGAAGAGTACCTGTGGGCTGGTGTATGAATTCAGGGAGATATCACATGTGAAGCACTCACGTGGTTGGCAGTAGGTGAATAAGAGTTCCCTCTTCCTCCTCCTCCTCCTGTCATACCTGGTTGGACACACAAGGCAATCATCCACGCACAACTTCTGTGACCAAATGTGTAGAGATTCCCCCCCACCCCCAGCGAATAATCAGTCAGCCCGGCAGTGGACACCAGCTGGGTGTCCTTCATTTCAATTCTGACACTGTCTACCAGAAGATAGCATCTGATTCCACAGATTGAGGGCTCAGTCCCACAAGCTTGCCTCCAACTTCTACTACTGATCACAAGTCCTAGGTTGTTTTCCTGTGGTTTTGATGGACTAGTTCTAAATAAGGGAACTGGTGACCCCCTCCTTGGATTCAATTAATTTGTGAGAGTGGCCCATAGAACTTGAGGAACTGCTAACGTTTGCTGATTTATTAGAAAAGATATTGCAAAGCAGTGGTCCCCAACATTTTGGCAAGCAAGGACTGGTTTCATGGGAGACAGTTTTTCCACGGACTGCAGTGGGGTGTGGGAGGATAGTTTTGATACACGCTTGCAAGCAACTGATGTATTATGGTCTCTGTGCAGTCAAACCTCCCTGCTAATGATAATTTATATTTGTAGCCACTCCCCAGTACCAGCCTCACCACCTCAGCTCCACCTCAGATCATCAGAAATTAGATTCTCTTAAGGAGCCACAACCTGAATCCCTCACGTGAACAGTGTACAGGAGGGTTCATGCTCCTCTGAGAACCTAGTACAGCCTCGGATCTCTTAGGAGATAGAATTCAAGCAGTGATGTGAGGGATGGGGAGTGGATGTAAATATAGACCAAGCTTTGCTCACTCACCACCACCACCTCCTGCTGGGTGGCCCAGTTCCTAACAGGCTACAGACTGGTACTGGTCCACACCTGGGGGTCAGGGGCCATAGTTACAAAAGATACAGATGAAGCAATGCATGGGTGAGGTATGGGGAGGGGTCATGGGGCTGCCATGCTCTTTCTGGGCACTCCACCCTCCAGGAAACTCCGTGTGTTCAGCTGTTCCAGAAGCTCTCCATACCCCATCCTTTGGGGCCTTTACGGGGAGTTCATTGGATAGACATGATTGAAGCATGGACAAAAAGGGCTTGATGTACTAGAGGCTGAGTGGGGAATCCCAGTAAGGCCTGTCTGTCCAGCTTCTCCCTGGCCTGTATGTGCAGTATTCCTTTCTCCCAGATTTGGAGCAAGACCCTATCTGAGAAGGGGATCTGATGACCCAGAATCAGACAAGGTAGGTCAAAGAATTTCTTTATGGCCAGCTCCATGACAGAAAGGTAGGGAAGCATTAGGGCATATTTTTGTTGTCTGTGGCCTGCTTGGAGAGAAATAATAAGGACTATGGTGAGTTACGAGCCAGGAGCTGTGGCCGGAAACCCACAGTCACGCCCAGCACTCATCCTCCCTCCCTCCACTCTGGCATCCAGCCTAATGCATGACCCACCTTGCCTGGCCGTCCCGACTGTCCCCTCCTGCTCAGTCCTGAATCCCATCACTCATGCCTCTGATCTCTCCCAAGCCCATGCACCTTCACCATGCTGGTGTGGGCCCCTCTTCTCCCACTGAATGACCATAATAGCAGCTTTTTCTGTTTCTACTATTTCCCTTTCACTGCATTTTCCAGGTGGTCCTGAGCGAGCATCTCAGAATACCCATTTGGTCATTGCACATGGCTGCCCGTTGTCCTAAGGACAATGCCTGAACATCTTACTGTGGCTCTCAGCATGTTCTTCCCCGTGGCCTCTGTGTCCTTCCGTGACACCCACACCACCCCATCACTGCCCTGCTTCTGTGCTTGTTCCCTTACACTTTCCAGTGCCATTGTGGTTTTCTGGAGAGAAACTGGTTAAGAAGGGAAATGGTTAAGGTGTGTTGACCAGAGAAATGTTAGCTTGAACCACGTGAGATTGCTGATGTTTAGTCATTTTTGACCTGGAAAAACAGCAATTTCTATGGTCTACCCAATACTATAGGACTGGAAGTCATCTTAGGAGGGTGCTATGATCTGAGCTATGGCCTGAGATGGGCCTGTCTCCCAGCCCAGGGCACACCTGGACGTGCACTCATCCCCTCCTTTGTGTGTGGTCCAGTGGGCCTCTCCTAACCCTCCAGCCCCACCCCAGGCCTTCATCTGTCTAATCCTCTTTCATCTTTCAATTTTTAGATTTCTCCTCTTTGAAACCCTCTGTGACTCCCCAAGACTGAGTAACATGCTTGCACTGAATTCTTCTGTTTCCACACAGGCATTGCAAGACTCATCTGTCTTGTTCAGGGCTCTGTCCTCAGTGATTAGCCAGTGCTAGATAGTGTAGGGGGTGCCCATGGAATGGTATTGAATGAAAGGCTTCCCAATGAATGAATGCAATTAATTCATAGACACCCCCGTCTCACTTCCATCACCTCCTACCTTGCTCCTTACTTACTTCTGCAGTCAGGCAGATGATTCAAAGCCACCATGAGCTTGGTTGGCCTCCTGACTCATATGCATCTGTTACCTAGGATCCCTCTGCAGTCGGAGGTGACCAGGACAAGAGTTGGTCCCTCCTGCAGCCTACTTCTGGAATACTCTTTCTATTGCTGCTTCGGACTGACAGGGGGCCTGGTTCAGTGGAACAGGGAGGGGGATAAAGCAGCCAGAGCTCTGTAAGCGCCCTGACAGTAAAGCTGCCTCAGAACAGGAGGCCAGAGTGGACACTGCCAAGATGACCCTCAGCCCCTTGTGTGATCATACCCAGCAGTACAGGCTGTTCTTGGATGGTCTGGCTCTACTGATAATCATCATGCTCACCATTCCCTTCCAAGGGAATCAACATCTTACAACAGAAAGATAGTTTTAACACCTGGCACAGCCTTGCATCATAGTCACTGCTCAGTTAGTACAGAAGGACAGCCAGTAAAACAAAGTGACAGATACAGACAGGAACCTTTACCATCCCTTGATCTTACAGAAGCTTAGAGAGAAAGCAGCTGAGAGGTGAATGGGTTGCTGTTTTTCCATTAGCATGTTGTAGAGGACACACTTAAAGGTCAGGCTTGAGACTTGGATCTGCCCAGTCAGTTTCAGATATAAATTCAGACGATGACACTATCATTCTCTCTCAAATTTCATAGAGACCTAGACACTCAAATACTGAGACAAATTCAGGTAGGCTCCATGTACTCAAGAAAGCCAAGCGAATTAGAAAGTGAGGAAGTATCTGATGCTGGCAGCAGTTCATAAGGACAGCCTGAAACAGAGCAAAAAGTGGGCATGTATTAAATAAGGACTTTTAGTCTGTTTTTAAACAAGTATTTGTCTTATAGTCTTCTGAGCTAAAAGTGAGGTGTAAATATGTTCCTTTTCCCCCTTCAACAAAGGAGAGATACCATTTGTGGATTAAGAAAATCTCACCTGTTTCAGGGACATCCCTCCTTTCCTCTATCTATAGCCAAATAGCCAGGAGGTGGCTGCAGTCAGTTTCAAGGTCACTGCACAGAAGCTTTCCTCTTCATTCCCACTGCTACTCCTTTGACCTTGGCCCCCATTAAATAATCTCCTGTCAGTCTCCCTCCTCTTGGCTAACACCATTTCAGTCTCTCCTTCTCCTACAGCAGAAATGGCTTTATTACCACCCTGCTAGTAAATCCTACAGTCCTTGTCATGCCTCTTCTCCCTACCCCTTGGCATTCCATGAGGGAGCTCCAGCCTGTAACCCCAACATGCACCAGATGCCCAGTGCTCTAGACTAGCTCT